TGTAGCTGTGTGTAGCTGTATGTAGCTGTGTGTAGCTGTGTGTAGCTGTAAGTAGCTGTGCGTAGCTGTATGTAGCTGTGTGTAGCTGTGGTGTAGGAGCATGTGCCCCCTTAGTGGCCTCCACTCAAGGACCACCAGCAGGAGAAACCCAAATGCTGCAGGACTGTTAAAGGACAGGACAGATGCCGGGTGGCTGCCACTGCCCTCTTGCCAGGGAGGAAGACCTGGTGAGGGGGGACAGGCCTGAGGGAGACATGTGCCTGGGCTCATGGATGCTGAAGCTCAGCAGATCCATTTTTCCTGCCTTTGCTATAAGTTTGGGAATAAAACACGTTTGACTCTGATTTTGACGGCTCTTTCCAGGCTGTGCACATTTGTGCCCTGTGTGTGGCTACACTGGGATGTGCCTTCTTGGGGTCACGCTCCACGCCAGGCCCTGTGTCCCCCATGCCGAGGCCGGGTGCTTGGCAGCATACACAGTGAAGTCCTGTGGCTGATGGATGACATCTCTACTTTTACTGTCCCTGTGCTGTGTCTTTCCAAGGGGATCACTTTCCAGAGCTATCAACAGAAGGGCACATCCACCACAAGGACACGGGACGTGTCTGACGGGTGGACACCAGGCCCTGCCCTGCATTTGCTGACCTTTCCTTGTTCCCTTTGATGGGAAAGTGACTGGTTTCCTTCCGTTGTCAGTCAGCTTCTCTCTGATCTTCGTTTCTTGGTGGGAGACCGACATGTGGACTATATCGCTGGCCTTCCCTTTCCTGGAACACGCGTTTCTCTTCCCGTGAGGGGACATCCCCATAACATAAAGCCAAAGGCCCTCAAGCGCAGGCTGCGGGGGCTCCCGGTGCACTTTTATCTCCTAGGAGGAAACCTGGCCCCTGCACACAGTCACTCCCGGCCTCCTGCCCCTGCCCCCGACAGCTGCCCATCTGCTTTCTCTCTCTGAGGATCTCCCTGTTCTAGAAATTTAAATAAATGAAGTCATATTGATGTGGCCTCTGGGTCTGGTTGCTGTCACTGGACATGCCTTTGAGGGCCACCCCCACGGCAGCGGGCAGCGGCACCTCATGTTATGGCAGGGTCATATTCCGTCGCATGGACATGCTACAACCCCTTCCCTCCATCTGTCAGTGGACATTGGGGTAACTCTGCCTGTTGGCTGTTGTGAGTCCTCCTGCTGTGAGCGTGTGTGTGGACATGTGCTGAGTTCCTGTGTCCAATCTCTTGGGTGTGTCCCTGGGCGTGGAGGGCTGGGTCCTAGGGTGACTCTGTTTTGTTTTTGGAGGTGTGGCCAAGCTTTCCTCCCAGTGGCCGCGCCAGTTTACACCCCCCGACGTCCTCAGCAGCACCGGCTCTTTTCTTGGGTAGAGCCATCTCCTAGGGGTCTACATGGGGCAGCTTGTGGGCAGTTCCTCCTGAGCTTCTGCTGGCACGTGACGGTCCACAGAACCGAGTCCAGCTTCCTCTCCGAGGCAGGTCCTGCAGTCTGGGAGGAAGAGGGCTGAACTGTCCTTCAGGACTGAGCCCTGCATGGCCAGGATTAACTGGGCCTTGGAGTCAGGGTCCAAGGGTCAGGGCGAGACTTTCCCCAGGACATCCTGCCCATCAGGGAAGTCCAGCGGCAGGGTAAGGCACAGCTGGGGGACCAGGCAGGAGAGGCGGGTTTTCCTGTGCACTAATCAGCGTCATTATCCACTTCCACCTCAGCCCAGGACCCCTCTGGAGAACTCCCTTCATCTCCTCCGTTCCTTCTGGAACACGTGATGTAAAATAAAGATTGACTCAGGAGCAGCAGGAGTCTACTTTAAATGTCTTCACATAAATCTCAAAATCTCCTAGATTCTCAAGATTCCTACAACGTCCTTGATAAGAATATCGCCATGGACTATTTCTCATAAGCCAGCAGAGGCTGTGCAAAGGAGCCGTGAGGTCATCTACCAGGCCTCTGCTCTCCCACCACCAGGCGATCCTGCGCAGGCAGGTGAGCCCTCTCCCAGGAAACGGAATCACGAAAAGCATCTCTACACAGTGCTTCTGGGAGGAAGCACTGTTGCAAGCTGTAAAAATGATTGATCTCATTTTGTCTCCAGGTCAACTGCACAGAGTGGTCATGAACTCCAGTAGAGGGGAGGAGACAGCTGGGTCTCTGAAAGGCTCAGAGACGGGGCTGCCTGCAGTCTACCCTCACTCCTCCAGGGGAGGGCTGCATCAGAAATGCAGAGCCCCAGCCCCGGGCTGCATTTCAAGTGATCCCCAAGATGTCCCTTTGTGTGAGAATCAGCTGGGCACAGTGGTGCACACCTGTAACCCCAGCAACAGGGGAGTCTGAGGAGGAGGATGACAACTTTGTGACAACTTTGAGGCCAGCTTTAGCAACTTAGACCTGGTCTCAGAACAAACAATAAAAGTGCTAGGGATGTGGCTCAGTGGCAAAGTGCCCCTGGGTTCAGTGCCCAGTACTGCGCAAAAAATAAAAAATAAATAAAAACTTAAGAAAGCATGAGAGCCTGCGCCAAGCCACCCTGTCCCTTGCCTGAGGTTCTGAGGGAGGAGATGGTTTTATTTAGTGAGAAAAACCTCTTAAGCACAGGGTTGGAACCCAGAAGAAGGTCTGGCTTACTGAGCCAGGCAAAGGGAAAGGAGGGTCCTGCTGTGCATCAGGGGTTCTATGTGGGACACATCGTGGTCACCGCGATCGATCGACGTCCTGCCTTTCCCTTTGTGAAACCTCTGCTGGGGCGTGGCTCAGGGTCCGGTTGGCAGAGTCCAGGTGCACATGGCCAATGTCCCGCGACTGTGGGGAGAATGCGCGTGGAGTGCCAGCACACCACACCTGCCTGGGCCTGGGATCCCACCCCTGGAAATGGGGCGCACTGTAGTCAGAGGGGCGTGTGAGCAGAGTGACCGCCACGCAGACGGGAAGGGTGGGATGGGGGCGACCTGGTCCTATCTCATGTTCACACAGCCTCATGGTGGGCAAAACATCCCTGGCCAAGAAGGAGACTTTCACTTGTCAGGGAAGGACAGACAGACCCCACGGCACTTCAGGCTCCGGGCCTGCAGAGCAGCAAGAGCAAGGCGGAGAGCTAGAATGGGCAGTGCGCGAGCGGCACCCACGTCTGAATAGCAGGAAGTCCCTTCTCCTTCCCAAGCCCCCTTCCTGTCTCATTGGCGTGGGCTCTGGTGCCTCCAGACACTCCTGTCCTCTGCGGTGCCCGGGGGACCCTCCCTTCCCCTGTGGGTCAGGCTTCCTGGCCCAGCCCATTCAAGGATGCCGCTCCTGGCAACCCTCAGGGAATTCCAACCTAAGTCCTAGTT